ACCAAACTTAAGTGTATTCACGTTTATAGAATTAAAATACTTTGCAAAAAATTGATGCTGTTAAAGCTTAGGAACAAATGTTTAAAAAAAGTGTTTTTCCTAACCTGAATTTTTTTAGACATAACAAAGTTAAACTCTTCAACAGCTTCTAAATATATATCTGAAACAACAAAAATCCCACCTACACTACTGGTGTTATTGTTTGTCATCCTGTAATGTTGTTGTGATGTTTTGTGTTGATAGACAGCTTGGCTTACCTTCACGTTGGTGTCTATCGTTAAAAATGATTATTGGGTAGCTTCATTACTGAAACTTACTCCTAATCATTCACTAAAAGCCAAGAAATATTTTAAGAAAAAATGCCGAATTTTTTTGTGTCAATAAAAATTTTTATCTTGAGCAATGCTGATAAAACTGATTTTTTTAAAAAAAAGATTATTTCCAGCCTTCTAACCAAATATTAGAGACTTTTCCAAAAGCACTCTCACAAAGTAAGTGTTTAATATTTCTTTAATATTACTAAATTTCGTTTCGTATTTTTTATTTTTCAAATGAATTAACATAAAACAAATAAATGTGCATTCAGTGTTATCAATAATGATTTTATTTCGTTTTTAGATAATGCTTTTATAATCAATTTAAAAGTCTTTCAAATCGTTAATCATTTTCTAAAGGCGAAGAAGAAGAATCATCAATCTTCATACCATTTAATAAAGCTATTTTAATAAAACGCAATACAAATTGTTGTAAATTAGTATTTCAATAATTTTCACGTTGTTACCTTATTTTGCAGTTTCCTATCACTTTGTATTGAATTAACTAAATCCAATATTACAGTTCCTTTTATCAAGTACTTCACATTTTCTGTTTTTGTTTTATGCAGAAAAACAGATCAAGTTAATTTATTTAACTTGCCTAGCTACTTATTTTACACGCCTAGCCACAGTGAGTGTGTATAAATCAACAGAGGATTTGGGTTTGGGCAGGTTGTCTTGAACTAAATGGTTTACCTTCTTCATGTTAAGCTCTAAATATAAATATACGGAAAAGGTGCATATGTGATTTTTTTTTTTTTTTTTTCTAGCACATAATCTATTGATCACTAAAAAATATTAGAGGGAGAAATAGAGATAAGGTTAATGTGGAATAGAGTTTGTCCTTTTAGGTGAAAAACTATTTTATAATCTATCTATCTTCTATATAATAATGCCGAACTTAAAAGTGTTAGTAGAAAGAGTCGCAACACTTTTTTTATAAGAAAACGTGTATACAAATATCTAACGTACGTAATTAAGTAATGATGAAACATACTGAAACATTTTTCAAGTTTTATAGTTTGACTTTGACTTAAAAATTGCATTGCGTCAACCTCTTCTTAATTTTTGATCTACAGCAATTCCGTTTAAAACAATTTTTATATATTTTTAAAATTTCGATATTTGATGTGTCAGCATGGCCGAATGGTTAGCGAGCTAAGCTTCTGAACGTAATAGTCGTGGTTCAAATTTACCACCAGCGATTTTTTTCTTAGAATCTTTAAATTACAAAATATTTGTAAAGTTAAACAAGTTAAATGTTATACACTTAAACCGTTTTTTCTTTTTAAATTTTATAAATTTTTTAGATTTCTAAAAACACCAATAAACGGGGCAAAAATTTGTTGCGTGTGTGTCACGATTTTGATACTGTTCTCACATAATTGGTCCTATTAAGCTACGGATAGTCTTAAAAAAAAAGTCCTAAAACCTAATAAGGAAAAAAATTTGATAAAACCGTCCTGCTACTCCACATGGTATTGCAGTGGAGGCAGAGGAAAAAAAGCAATTAAAAGGTTTTTCGCTATATTTAATTTTTTGCTATAAATATAGCTAGATTAAAAAAATTTAAAAAAATGTATGGAGATTTTTTAGGCGCGGATTTGAAGCATTGCACAGCGACTCTGATGACTGCGCACTTAACTTGTGAGCTATCAAAGTTATGCATGTAGTTAGGTGCTTCAACATTTTTTTAAAAATGTAAAATGAAAACAAAATAAATACCATAAGTAAGAGCTAAATAATAACGTTTAAAAATTACCAAACCTTTTATTATATTATTAGTTTTTCAACTTTTAAACCACAAAATTTATAATTTATTTTTTTGCATGACTTTTGACGCTTTAAGTGACTAACGTTTTAAAGAATTGCATTACCGTTTCCGTCTAATACAAAGGTAACTATAAAAGACCGTTATTATTCAAAACTAAGCATATAATAACAATAAATATAGTAAATAGTAACTATTGAAAATGGCTAGGACGCGACCATAAACCATGGTCCATGGCTGCAGTAGCGTAGCGACAAAAAATTGGCCCCCCACCCCCGCAAAAATTTAATCCGGGCCCCTAAATTACTTCTTTTCTATTCCTTTCCCCCACCCCCCACCACCTTGCCTTTACCTTCCTTCTAGACAAATAATTTATACATGAAAATAAAAAAACGGTAATCTAAAACACAAACTAATGATATACGCATGTTATTTATTGTACTGACACTTTTTTTTAAATTTTTTCTTTGTTGCCTTGAGCCCCTAATAACTCTGGGCCTCCCCGCGGCTGCGGGCCCTGCGGGCCCTTTGCTACGCTACTGCATGGCTGGTCTAAAAGTAGGAAGTAGTTTAGTTCAGAATTTTTAAAAAAAATAATAAATAAACGGGGTTTAATAAGCTATATACGTATGCGGAAAAAGTGCGTATGTTAAAGTTTTTTTTTGCTCTCAAAGCAAATTTTTTTAATGAATTTTTTTCCACCGTTTACTAAAAAATATTGAAGTAAATAAGGAACAAGTAAAGAAATGATTGGCGTGGAATAGATAAATATAGAAGTAGAAGAAAAGACCTGTATTTACCGATACGGACAGCTAGATTAAGAAAATAAGGGAAAAAGTTTGTGTAGAATAGACTTACAAAGACCCGTATTTTTACGGGTCAATTCAGCTAGTATATAATATATATACATATATATATATATATATATATATATATATATATATATATATATATATATATATATATATATATATATATATATATATATTTATATTTATATATATACATATATATATATATATATATATATATATATATATATATATATATATATATATATATATATATATATATATATATATATATATATATATATATATATATATATATATATATATATATATATATATATATATATATATATATATATATATATATATATATATATATATATATATGTATATATATATATATATATATATATATATATATATATATATATATATATATATATATATATATATATATATATATATATATATATATATATATATATATATATTATTGACCTTCACACACACACACACACACACGCACATAAATTTATTAGAAAATAATAATTTTGCAATAAAAAAGTTTTTTTTATGTCTTTTATTTGATTCAGCATTTTATTTAATGCAGTAGTTTAATGCAATGTTATGGGTAATCAATAAGTTAAACTAGATCTGCTACATGTTATGTTAAATAAGATTAAAGTAAAATTTACACAATAAGTAATGCTGAAAATAGTAAAAATTATATAAATGCGACTTTGAAATTGCATTAAACTTTAGTGAGGATTGATGTTGGACATTAGCCTTGGAGAATAAAACTGATATAGAAAATTTATATCAGATATATTGAAATCTTTCAACATTGCTGAATTGTTGTGACCAAAAAACTCATCATTCAATAACCTGCAATAAAGTATGGACATTATAGCAAACTGGGAAAAACTATGAAAACTAAGTTTTAATGTAAAAAAATGTAAAGTTATACCCTTAGGACCAACAAATACAAAATTTTTCCTTAGGACCAACAATACCCTTAGGACCAACAAATACAAAATTAATTTATATACTCGTTTATAAAAATCTCAATACTTCAATTAATATTAAAAACTCTCTCGTCAATAAAAGGATCTTCTTTGACAGTAATTTGACTTTTATTTTGTAAGTATTAAGAATAACACCGCTAATAAAGTTGTAGGAATGATCAAAAGATCATTTGTCAATCTCAATATTTTGACATTTCGTACTTTGTTTATTTTCCTTGTTCGTCCTCACCTTGATTCTTGCAACTTTGTCTACTATCCTAGACTTTAAAAAGATCAACAATTAATTTAAAATGTTTTATGCTAGTATAGTAAATTACGTTTTTGGCCAGACTGAACTCACTTACAACCAAAGACTACTGAGACTAAATTTAACTAGCATGAGCTGTTGTTTCTTATGTAATAACATGGCAGAAACTTACAAATGCATTCACAATCTTTATAATTGTAGTTGCAACCCTTTTGTTTCCTCATAAAATACCATTCAGTATTTTATCTATCAACACCTGTGTCAGAATGATGTCATCTGCACAGCCATTATATTTATTATTGTAATTACAGACTATTAATATATTTAGTTAATATTTATTCCTCGATTATGACTAACTCCAACTTAACAACATGCGATCATGCGTATAAATTGAAAAAAATGTTTTGTTAGACAGATGTCCGGAAAAAACATTTCTAATATGGAATTCACCAATTTGTAGAATAGTCTACCATCTGAAATAGTGTTCAACATCTGTCACGACATTAAAAAAACATCTAGATGCATCTTTGGTTCATCAAATGTATAATTGCAAAATGGTAAATATTTACTTAGAGCCTCGAGTTGTTTATTTTTCCTAATGTCATATTTAAATAAGAAAATATTATCATAGAAACCTTTCCAAACCGCGCAAACTTTAAAATTCACTTTTTTTTACTAACCAATAATTAAACTCTACTTGCAATAAAAAGTGATTACATTAAACATTAAGAAATGAATCTCAATAATTTTTAGACTGATATTTTCAGTTAAAAAAAAATAATAATAATCTTAAAAAAGAAAGTTAATATGAAGTTTTTTTATATCATAAATTTATTTGTGATTATTTTTTAGCTGATGCACCGTTAAACTGAAGGTGGTAACAAAGTTTACAAAATTTGCTCTGGCTGAATTTTTCAATGAAAAAACAATATGTCTGCTATGAATGTAATCTGTTTTTTATGGCGTATCAATGAAAGTTTGGTGTATTGGCCAAACCACTTGCAAGCATCTTGCCTTTAAACTGCCATACATAAAGACACGCTTTTAAAAGTAACTGAAAGCAGCTAAAAATAAGAATTTTTTGGTAATTGTCTTATTTACAATATTGTTTTTGTTTTATTTACAGTATTGTCTTTGTTTTTTATCAAAACAACTATGTTTGACTCAAATATAGTAAATGTTGATTGTTTAGTATGGTTTCATCTCTTCTTTATAAATTTTTTGACAGTTATGAGACTGCTTTAGAACGGAATTATCTGTGCCTCCAGCTTAAAAGGATGCAGGTTACAAAAAAAGTGACACTGATGAGATTGTCTCTCAGTTTCTCAAAGATTGAAGAAATTTTTAGTGTTTTAGGGTTAAGTGATTCTATCAGAGCTTTGCTTGACTATCTCTTTTGATTTATTGAATTTATTTCCTGGTTATAGATGAAAAAAGATCTTTCAAACCTAGAAGAAGAATTATGGAACAAAGACACCTTATGAATCAATAGTATATATCAGTAAATTGATATTAGTTAATAGTTTTTGGAAACAGTACCATGTACTATTAAAGTTTCTAATTTTTAAAATATATGATACATTTATATGAAACATACAAACAAATGATAAAATATGATACGTGATTGACTATAATTATGTTGTATATCAGAATGTTTTATATAAATGCTTATTACATTTTATTGTGATTTTTATCTTTTATGCCCAGTTAGCGATGTATTTTGTGTAGCACTGTATGACTACTAATCTCAAATATCTTTGACATCTGTAGGGTTTATTCACCGCTACAGATGTCATAATCTCTTTATAACCAATTGCTTTTACTCTTCCATAATGTCACATTTTAATAAGAATCACATTATGGAAAACCGTCTAATACATACACATGAGCAACCATTGTACTTTTAGTACAACCAATTATACTACATTTGTTTTCTTATTTTAGATGAACTTTCTTACTTCGGTTGGAGGAGATGAGAAACAACTTACAGCGGCAATCTTAATACAGCTAATGGCCAAAGAAGTATGTTTTTCATACTCAGTGTATGGAATGAAACAAAAATGTCCTGCAAGGTCGTTATAGGTAAAGCACAATATTTGTATTCTACATCCCATTTTTTTAATAAATATATATTTTAATAAAAGCTAATTACTTTACAATATTTATACGTGAAAAGTTATATATTTCAAAATTATATTGTGATGATGTTTAAAAAACATTTTGTAGAGTTGCGTTTAGTCGTTTATCATTGTATTCGTTCATTTCGAAATCGCTACTGACAAAAGTATTTAAGAAAAAATTGGCAGCTTTCTGGCGACGGCCATTAATAGAGATTATGGAAAAAAATAGAACCGTAACTGAGCAACGCCCAATATTGAGCAATGAAATAAGTATCGCCAATATAATGAAAGTCGATGCCCACTATCTCATAGTGAGAGTATAATACAGTAGTTTATATATATATATATATATATATATATATATATATATATATATATATATATATATATATATATATATATATATATATACATATATATATATATATATATATATATATATATATATATATATATATATATATATATATATATATATATATATATATATATATATATATATATATATACAGGGGCGGATCCAGGAATAATTTTGACTGTAGCAAAAAAAAAAAAAAAAAAAGGTCCTCAAATCCAGAGTACTGACACTCTTGACTCTCCGTTACAAAGGAAGGGAGGGGGAAATGTGCTCGAATCCCGAATACGAGGAGGGGTATAAATATAAGGGGGAGGGGGCAGTAGCAGATTACATCTTTATTTTATATGCTTATACAATATGCTTATACCTTGGTGAGAAATAAACAAAACACATTTTCGGTCTAATTACTATGTCGATAATTTTTAAAGCCTGTTTACACTTTTTGTTTTTATCGGAGACTCAAAAATTGTTTTCAAATTTTTAAGGCCGATTTTTGCAGATTTTAGGTTTGAGATATAAATGTTTTGTTGATAACAAATAAAAGGAATAAATGGGGAGGGGGAGGGGGGGGAGGTCTTAATAAGCTTAGTGTGATGGGGAAAAGTATCGGAAATTAATAAACAATAGGAGGGGGGGGGGGCGTTTATTAAGGACTCGAGTTATCAAGATAATGTTAAATGTGGGTGAATCTTATGATAATTTACCATCCAAAAATGATGGTTAACTATCTTCTCAAAATCAAATACCATTAATAAAATAGCAATACCATGACAATTAACGATTGCAAGTTATTCTTACCTTAATTGTGTTCAACATCCAAAACTGTTGGCTAATGATCAATAAAGTAAAGTTCATATCATGAAAATTTACTAAATTCAAACCATATTTCAACAGTATTCAAACTAAAACAAAATAATGGCAAAGATAGAACTACAAAAATATAAAGAAAAAAAAATGTCATAAGAGGTAAAAAACTATAACTATTTTTTAACAAAACCTCCTAACATAAAGTTAATAATAAATATGAAATATTTATGACATCAAAAAAATATCCTCTTTAAATATTCCATCAGTAATAAATAAAAGTATCCTATATTATATATCTATCAATTTATATACATATTTATATATCCTATATTTATCTGTAATCAGTATAACTTTATAACAAGTATATCTATTCATCAGAGTTCAATATGTTTTTAAACTCCATTCTTCGTGGAAATGCAGTCGCAAATTCATCTACAACAATATTTAAGTCAATTTCAACATCTCGATGAATGTGCAACATGGAAATGCCATTTAGGCGATCATCTGTCATAGAATTGCGCAAGGAAGTTTTAATTCTTTTCAGAGCTGATAATGATCTTTCACAAGTACATGTTGTAACTGGTACTGTGTAAAGGATTCGAAGTATAGTAGAAATATTTGGAAACGTATTGCCATCACATTTTTGTAGTGAATCTGAAATAGTTTTAGGAGCTGTTTCAGAGTGATTTTTCCAATATACTTCCCACATATCCAATTCAGCATAAAGATAACTCGGTTCTGGTAAATCATTATTGTATGTATGAGGAAATTCTTTTACTTTTTTCCTCCACTTCTTGTCAGAGATTAAATTTGATGGTATGATGACAAAACTATCTAGCAATGTTAAATTTTCTAAAGAAAATAAAGAATCTAACTGTGTTAGAATGTGATCAAGAAAAGGAATCGAACAAGTTACTCGATAATATTCACTAATATCATCTACTTGATGATTATCACGTTGTGTTTGTTGCCCACATGTTCTTGGTTTAGATGGCAAGGTATAATTAGTTGCAGCTATGGTTACAGCCTCTTTATACCATTCTGAGTGTGAAATTTCAATAGAGCTCCGAATAGATAAAAGAGTGTTTTTTTAAATTTCCACATCATCACGAGCTTTTGAGAAGTCTTAATCAACTTTTTGCAACGTTTTTGTCAGTGGTCTCGTATACCCTAATAACTTCCTGACTATGATTAAGGTGATGATAAACTTAAACGAACAACATATTGTCACATATGCATAAGCATCACCTCTGGATTTGTAGTTCCATGTCTCATCTTCTTTAATACAAGTAAGAGATGCAATTATAGCTGAATATAATTCAATAAAAGCTTCAAGACCATCAATTCTTTCAATCCACCTGGTTCTACAAACATTTATTGTCTTTTGAAAGGATGATTTCGGACATAGCTCAACAATTTTTGTAGATAGATCTTCTAACCTCTTTGGAGAATTATTAAAAAAATCAGAGACAATCCTAACATGATCCATCATATCTCGAATTGAAGGAATTGCACATGCTTTGGCAACACACAGATTAAGTTGATGGGAATAGCAGTGGATGTATGGAGCTTTAGGAAAATCTTTTAAAATTAATGCTGCTACACCACAAAGACGCCCTGCCATGTTACCAGCCCTATCGTAACCTTGCCCACGACAATAAGACATTTCCAGACCAAGTTTATGTATACTTTTCTTGATCTTAGTTGATAACAAAACTCCAGTCAACCCACTATTGCAGGAAACAAATTTTAAAAAATCTTCCTTTACTTTGCAGCATTCATCGACATACCGAACAACTACAGCCATTTGTTCAGTTTGACTAACATCTGAAGCTTCATCTGCTAAAATAGAAAAAAATTTAGCTTTCTTTATTCTGTTTGTCAATAGCGATCGAACAACACCTGCACAAATATCAATCAACTCATTCTGCACTGTCTTTGATCGATAAGTGGCATTTTTAGGACCATTTTTAAAATGGTCACTCAAGATCTTGTCACCGCATAATGCCATCAGATCTAATAAGCATTGGAAACTACCAGCATTATTACATTGCAAAGCAAGATGTTTAGCATCATCTCGATGTCCTCTAAGTGATATATTCTGCCTACAACAAAAAAGGATTGCACGTGATATTGAAAACAAAATTTGCCGATTTCTAGAAATATTATCAGATAGAAATTTATTGAGTTGCAAATTAATTGGAACGGTTTTTTTACTAATTACTGCTTGGAAATCAAGCATTATTTGTATGGAGGTTTTATGCATTGGTGAAGTGTTATTATGTGATATTATTCTTACATTTCCAACTGACCAAAACCGAAACGGATATTCATGAAATAATTGACTAGTTGAAGAAGCCTTTCCAAACAGAACACAAGATATACAGAATAACCCATCATAGTACTTTGAGTAACAGAGCCATGAAAATTTTTTGAACCAAGCAGGGTTACATTTACGACCATTAGTTTTAGGAAAAACATAGTCAGAAGGTGGTATCCATACGTTCGATAAAATATTACGCTTCTCTTGGTTTGATAATTTCCCTACTTTGTCTACAAACAAGCCAATATCAAATTCGTTGCAATCATCTTCTGTTGTTGCATTTTCACAATTTACATTTAATTTTGGAATTACGACTCCTGATATTGGTTTTTCAAATTTATTACTTAAAACCGAAGACGAACTGGATACTGGCAAAGGTTTATTGTTCACAGAAAAAAAATTCTTAATACTCAATGATGGTTTGGTTAAATTAATTTTTTGAACAGCAGAACAAGGTATTTGAAGAAGTGAATTATTTGAAGGGCGTTTTTCACCAGTTACAACAATATTTTTTGAAGAATTTAAACTTGTTTGGGTACGAACTAAAATATTTCGAAACTCTGGCTGAGTGCTTATAATAGATACTAGAGGGACAAAATGATTAGGATTGAAATAATGCATTTTTCCCATATGTGTAAGATTGTCTGGAATTTCTTTCTTTGATTCAACATTGTAAAGCAATAAGTAAACTATTTGATAGGGTTCATCAAATTTCTTAAAAGTCTGTGGGTACAATGTACTTCTAAATAAATATTCTAAACATGCATCTCCTGTAGTAGGATAAAAGAGTTTCAATGGAATCTGAAATAGAAAAAAAAAAAAAGAAAAATAATAATATCTATATAATAAATAAAACAATAAAATTCAAATCAGTTTAAATGTTAATTTTATACAAATGAGAATATACTTTTAAAACATTGGAGATTGACATCACACAAACTAAAGATGACCAAACACCAGATTGAGAAATATTTAATGCTTCAGCAAAAATAGCATCAACTTTAGACTTTTTAGCTTCAAATGCAGTACATGCAACATTGGATATTCCTAACAAGAAAGCGGATCTTTCTTATCAAAAAACACCACTTAAATGCCCCAGACGAAAAACAGGATGCACAGCAAAAAAACTTGCATTCTTGTATAACTCAATTGCACAAAGCTTCCTAAGAGTTGTTGCTAGCATATTGTTTCCGATTAAAACAATGGAGACAGCAGAAAATAAACAATTGCCATCTTGAGGAGTTCTGGACATAAGAATAAATTTATATGCAAATACACCCACATACACGCACACAAACATACACACGCCCACACACACACACACACACACACACACACACACATTTTTTGACTATAAATCAAGAAGTTCTTTTGATATAGCAAATCTAGCACCAACTAAAAATTCTAAATATCTATTCATCCATTGCGTTAGTCAGCTGGACACCAAAAAAACTATAACAAAGATTTTACCTGACAGGCACCATTGAACATGTTTCCTCGTTTATAAGTTTATCAGCATACAATCTAGCCAAACTATTACTTGCTGCAACATCCATAAAACCATCGGCTCCACCAGACAATTTATATAAAATATAGATTCCATCATAGTTTTTCTGGGAGCGCTTGTTTAATTTGGCAGTGTTACTTAACTTAATCTGATCAATTAAAGAATGGTTGTTTGCTTTTAACGCTTGATAGAGCTCCATTGCACTCATTTAATTAAAATTAAT